GACGCTCTTGCTGCTTGTGCCCTCGAGGAGGGTCACCAGCCAGGCGAGGCAGCCCTCTGTGGGGAAGGGAAGGTGGCCTTGCAGCAGGAGCCCAGGAGGGACGTTGTCCACCCACCGGGTCACCCTCAGCCAGCCAGAACCGCCCTGCCGCCCTTGCTCTGTCCTAACACTTGTTTGGTTTCTCTGCCTTGTGTGTTTATGTGAGCCCTGCGATGTTTTTTAGATGCTCCAGCGAGAGCTCTTGCGCGTTTCCTGTCGGGTCATTGGCTCTGGCCTGTGGTGTGGGGTTCCCTTTCCCCTCTCACGTTCCTTCTTCGGAGAGCTTTCACTTTCCTGAAGCTCTGTGCTGCCATCTTTTGTTCCCTTGTCTTGTTTTCCAGCTCTGGCTGACTGCAGCGGCCAGTTCCTGGGTTTTTGGCTCAGTTTTACCTCTGCTACTTTCTCTCAGATCGGGGCTGGCAGCACCTCTCCTGACATCACTTCACAGCACTTACCTCTTACGCAACCCTCTGGATTTGCAGCCCTGCTATTCCCTGACCTTGGCTCATCTCCCCTTCCTTTTGCAATACTTGTAAGCACCTTTCCCAGCAGAAGGTTGCAATTAGAGAAGCAAGTTGCATACTTCTCTAGAGGGAGAGCAGGTTTCACCTCCTTTAATCTAATAGGAAATGTCTCCTTCCCTTTCATATGCAGCACTTTCTTGTGGTATGCAGTCATCCACCTGGATTGCTCCCCTCCATTTCTTTCTGAGTTTCCCTTTTTGCTGTAGGAAGACCTGTCCCCGGTGATCAAAGGCTTCTTTCTACAACTGCAGGAGCAGAATGAGGAAACAGGATGCAGGATAAGGGATCAGAAAACCTGCTGGGTAGATCTCTGCAATTAAACATGTCTTGGAGCAAGACTTAAGGAAATGCGTTATCTGTGCTCACTGCCTCAGTTTCTCTGGTCATTAGCATGGGGATAATTGCACTTGCTTCCTTTGGGGAATTGCCTTGACCTCTGCAGACTAAATTTCTTTTCCACCTTGGTTCTGTCATTAGAGCAACTGGCTCAGCAAGACAAGGAAGCAAGAGAATGCCAGAGTCAGAGGTGAGCTGAGCAGCTTGCTGCTGCTGTGTGCTCCAGCTCTCCTTCCAGCCCGGCTCAAGGGCTGCCTCGATCCCCCAGCTGAGCGAGGAGGTGGCAGTGCCCTCCTGGCCAGCCTGGGCACTGCTTCCTTACACCCTGGGGAAGGTGCATCTGGATTTGCTGTTGCCAAGAGCGTCTTCCCAAGAGAGCGCAGGGCAGCCAGGGAACACTGAGAGTAGGGAAACACTCCTGCTGCTGAGGAACAGTTTTGGCAGCAGGCAAGTGTAAAATAAACCCATCAGGACAGAAGCCCTTGTCATAGCTGTGGCGTGGGGGCTGGCAGGGGGTGTATCTGGGTAACCCCAAAAGCAGAACAGGGAGAGGAAGACCTGCCGGGTTAGAGAGAGCAGTTTAAATTAACGGGGCTGAAGTGAACATCGAAGGCCCCGAGCCCGCGAGGGGGAGCCCCGATGAAGTAATTCCCGGCGCTGCTGGTGAGATCAGCTCCAGGCTGGAAGAGACCTGCGACC